GCCTTGAGGTCCAGAACTAGGGGGCCGAAGCAGGACAGTCAAGAAGGGCCCCACAAGATTTTCATATGGTTAGTGGAAGGGGGTTTTGGCTTTGGCTTGGCAACCATTGCGGGGTTTTGTTGGCCACGCTCGAGGCTCCTTTACAGTGCCGCCCCAAACCGAATGCCACTGTTGGAGGCCCTTGACAAGCCATCTCCACATCAACGCCTAGTATCACTGAGTATTTGTAAGCTGCGCAGCCGCTCAGAAACTTCGCCCGGAACGTCAGCACCCTGCGAGAGACGGAGTGGGGCCCATGGTTCAACGTGCGCACGTGGCCTGTCTGCAAGATCCCACTAGGGCCACTAGGGGGATGGATGGGATGAGAACTGACTTCCAAGCCCGCTGAAGCCCGGCCCCAAAATGAGCCCGAGCCTTGAATCCATAAGGAACCCAAGCTGAAGCTTTGTCTTGACAACGTCTTGACAACCCTAGTTCGCTTTTGATTCTTGGAAGTGAAGCACGCGGCAGGAAGCCAGATGCCAGCCAAGCGAGCGGAGCCGTGAAGCCTCTCGGCACCAGCCGGAAATCCCTGATCTTTTGGCTTCCACGTGGACTGCGGACTGCTGAGACAGGGCTTCTGGTTCCAGAAAGCCCCGCAAATCCGAGGAGATTTTGGGTTTCGGTTTCGGCGGTTTTGGGCCAGAGCCCAGTACTTCGCTAGCACATGCTGGCACCCTCTGAGGCGCGACCTTGCTTACACACCACGCGCAATCGGCTTCCACACGGACAATCCGTATCGCTCCCAGGCAGCATTGCACGATGCTTCTCCGGGATGGATTTGTCTGCATTTCGCGCTTCAATCTCTGAGGGCGAGGGCCGTGTGAAGTTTCAGGTGGAAGCATTCCGAAAGCAGGGCTAAGCTACCAAAGCAATGAGCCTCGAAGCTTGCTGTCCCAGAAACTACAGCGATCATGAACTGTAGTGCTCGGCGTTCTGCATGGGATTGTGCTCGGGCTCAGGTATGCGTAGCCTCAGCCGCAGTCGTTTGAGCAAGATTGACAAAGCGTTTCGTCTGCGGTGGACGGTTTCCTGTCACGAAACATGGCAGGGATGCACGTTACCAGTAGGATCTGCCTTTGCAAGGCTATCCAACGCCGGCAGCATGGCTCGCAATAGGGCCACCAGTGTTCAGCAGGTCGGGTTGCTCTGCCGGTGTCCAAATATGTGTATACACGGAAATATGTAGATGTCCGTGTATATTCATACGTATACCTCTACGAGTTTGTCTATTTTTATGTACATGTGCATATATGCATGCATGTGTGTATATATGTCAGTGTGTAACAACACACCTGACATGGGTACAACATCAGTTCATGAAATTACATGTATGCATACTTCTGCAAGAGCTGGTCCCTTGCATGTTATCCGCCCAAAGCCCCAGACCGCATAAGGGCATATGTTACGTGGGTGCCTTCTCAAAAGCCATTATAGTATCACGAGTCTAAACGAACCCCGGACACTCAACGAGGATTTCCAGCTCCTCCATGCCGTGGAGCATTGCATTTGCAAGGACAAGGTGGGCTGTGCCAGTCGGGTCTCGCGAAACCACAATGTGCAGGCTTCTGGATTGATCCCAAGCGCCACGCTCCTGTGCCCGTTTGCAGCTAAATCTGAAAGCGCACCCGATAAGAGGCCTCAACAAACGCAGAGTCGATTCAGGAGCCGGGACCTCTTGAACATAAACGGACAGGATACATAAGGATTTCCCATAGCAAAACCGGCTCTAGAGTATTGCCATTCAGGCTTTTTTGGGCTAAACCTGTCCAAAGGTGCCTTGTCCAGAGTGCTCAGCCCTGGCCTCAGGATTGGAGAGATGTCTCTTTAAGGTCTTTGTCATCATCTATCCATTTCGGGGAGACTGAGATATGGGCATTTTCAAGTTCTTGAATATGTGTCAGTTCTCTCGCAGCGAAACATCTGCCAAGCCCTCGCTGAGAAACCTCTAAACTGCAAAACCTGCAGGCTCTGGTGAGTAAAACTTCTGATCGTGATAGGCAAATTGAGAGGAATGACAGAGGTCTCGCCATGTTCCCCCTGCGTCCTAAGAGTAGCCCGCTTCTAGAATGAATGGCTGCTTCTTTTTTTTGCGAATCTCTGGTGGGCCCGGTCAATGCCAGTGGTGCCTCTTCTTCAAGCTGCACCACGTTTCGATGAGGTGATCAACTACCTTGTGGATGGCTTCCAGATCGCTGAGGTCCTGAAGCAGGAGAGCCCCGAAGACTACGAGGTGCTAAGCGGCTCGGCCACGCGCAGGAGCAGCCCGAACCCGCAAAAATCATCCAGACTTGCTGTACAAGGGTAAGGTCAGTACATGGAGATACTAAGCCTTCAGATCCAACGCTAAAGTCGAAGCCTTGACCTGTGTTTCCAGCAGTTTGAGGCCAAGTCCCAGCGACTCGACTGCAGAAGGGGTTTAGCAGCATCAAACATCGTCCATAACATACGGGTTCCTAGTGGCACGACGTTCAGATGTCTGTAAGTAGGATGAAGGCGCAGTCCCACAAACTGTTTCCGGGCGACACGCTGCATTTTGCCTTTGAGCCATTTTGAGTCCTTAGTCAAATTGGTGATACTTGTTCAAGCTCGATGTGTATGCTGGGTTTGTAAGCTTGCACATCGCGATCAAAGAAGCCTGGCACATGGCAACGTATCTGACAGTCACAGCACTTTGTTGAACACGTCTTGCCTATTGTACCGGATTTGGATCTTGGGCCCAATGTCTGCACAAAATTGACCAACCTTGGGATAGATTTGGCTTTGACATCGGCTTACAGAGGCCATCGTGGCTTCTTGTCATGCGTTGCTCCTTTTGTAATATGTTTTTTGGGGTACATGTACCTCGTTCTCACGCATGAAGCCTGCATTGCTTGGGAGCTTGAGGGCCCCAGCAACTACGAAAAATAGATTTGCCTCACACTTCGAACTAGGACCCGGCCACGTTGGTGTAAGTTGTCTCATATTTCGGTTTCATTTCTTTATGCACGAGTCTGCGAATCTCCGATTCCCAGATTTCATCTTCTTAGTGCTTTGGTTTGTTTGGAAGCAACCAGTTGTGATTGAGCATAACATCACTGCCGCATGAGCCTCCATGGACCATCGGAAAAATGCAATGGCGTCTAAGAGGATCGAGTGCACGGCAAAGACGCAAATTATGTCCAAGACATCCATTCAGACGGGTTGCCGTTTCGCATTTCCGTGGCGTGTTTCGTTCAGGAGGAGCTCTAAATCGCTACCGTAGCTTTTCCATGGCCAGTACTGACCCAGGTCCGCTTTGAGAACAATGGAGGCGATGGCTCGTCTGCATTGGTCCACATCTCTCCGCATCTGGAGCCCCTTGACGACCATGACCACTCTGTAAGCGCTTGGTTTAGTGTTCAGCTGGGATTTGTGGCTCTTACGTAGGCCTTGGGGGTGCAGCTTGGTGGTTCGGGGATGTTCGGGGATCTCCGTGCAGGACATGCCTTCACAAGAGAGGAGTTCAGGCATGGATCAGTACTGGTGAGGGTGCATGCTAGCCATGACTGCCCAATTGGTATCAATTGGTTGCGTCGGTTACGTCTACGTGGGCTCTCGATGGCCTTTAGGTCGCTGAAGGGGTGCAGCATTCATCGCCTCCTGACCCGCGTCATAAGTGTGATCCGCACATTTCCACACATGCCCGGGCATCGCAAGCTTCAAGCCCTGTTCCTCTCCCCTGCCCGGGGCCTAAACGTCCTTAAGCCGCAAGTCAGAAACAGCGCAACTGTGTCGTAGCGGCTCGATGAGGAGCATATCCACAGCAGCAGTTGTAACTCAGTGAGCTGCGAGGGAACTGCAAGCGAATCCAGAACCTTGAGAGATCTCCTCTTTCGTCAACTTTTTGTCCTCCAAAGTTGCCCCGACCGTGCCAAGGCTCGATTATCCGAGCCCCTCCGGCAAGCCCGTTCTACAGGCACAGGGTTAACGCGTCCCTATCGAATCATTGACAAGATGCAACATCTCTCTCGTTTTTCCCGCTCTCTCTCTCTCTCTCGTTGTTTTTTTTTTTTTTTCCAGGTGTTTTTTGTGGCATCAGAAGCAGCAGTACTGAATGTACTGAAACTTGTGTAGCATGGCCAGACGAGCTCCACATCCTAAATGCAACCGATGAGTCCGTTCCTTGAGGGATCTGTATGCGCTTCTGGCGACACTGTCGTTCGGTTGTTTTCCAACGCAATCTCAAAGAATAACGTGTAGCGGAATGAGCTCCTGTGTGAAAGGACTTTGCTTGGTGACTCTGATTAGAATTAGGCTGTGCCAACGTTTTTGGAGCGCCCGGGTCCGCGGTCCTTCGCAGAGAGTTTGAAAGGTTCAGCGTACTGCAGAAGACGATGAACGCCTGCGAAGAGCAGTACGAATAGTACCAGACATGGTACGGAAGGCGTTTCAGGTCAAGTAGCTAAATATTCTAAGAACTCTGGATGAATGAGTGTATCAATCTTGTGTGCAAGGGTGTCGAATGCCTCGGGCGTCAACAGAAGCACAGTTGAGCCTCAAAGTTTTGCGCGTAAATCCGCTTTTCCCTTGCCAGTCCGTACGCTTCTCCGCGAAGAGCGGCCAGCAGCTTGCTGAGGTGAAAGTTGGTTGCTGCTGAGTTCAGGGCATGTTGGCCATTGTCTTGCAGTAGGAGAGCCTCTCGGATTGCGCCAAGCAACAGGAAAGTTAGGGAGTTGTTTCAGTCTGAATCCCGGTCAATAATTAAGAATGGCCCCGTAGAAAGAGAACTGTGGGATCTCCGAGCGAGAAACCCTCGACAAGCCCTATCCGTCCTAAGCCTCCAAAAGTCCCGTGCTCTTCAGGCTATGCCTTGCACCCCGACAGCCCCACAAAGCCTTGAATACTGTTGAAACCCCGAAACCCTAAAGCGACCCAAACCTTGAACCGGCGCCTTGGCTCGCCCGAAAAGTGAGGACTCCGAACAGCAACCCTAGGGAGCCATGAACATGCCTAAAGACCCTTCAAACATCTTGAAACCAAGGTATGCCCCTGCTCTTGAGCCGGAGATGGCAGCAAAGTTCTACAAGGCCTTGGTCTTCGGCACTCTTGTAAATGTCTGGGCCGTGGAAGGGTTGTGGGACTTCACGTTGGAAAAACCATCTCCAGGGCCCATGCACCACAGGAGTGCGGTCAGGGATGCTTCAGATGAAGATGTGCCAAAGAAGCCATGCCATGAAGCCCTGCAATGTCATGCATGGTCACTATTGTTGTTTGCTGAGCTGCATCTGGTCTTTCATTTCAGATGGTGGCTGGTCGTCCCTTCGTTCCTGCCAAGCGATGCAACTGTAAAGCCTCTACGCCTAGAAGCCTACAGCTGCGCGACAAAGCATCAACGACTGCCAGACCCCAAAACCCCAAAGCCAGAAAACACAAGCGACCGAAGGCCCGCCGGCGCTTCTCCGAGCTGATGCACGAGCCCAGGCGCGAGATGCGAGAGTCTGCGAGAGTTGGGTTTTCATGTGATGAAGAGTTTCGGGGCCAAGGGAATTGAGCAGCGTTTTTTTTTCTACAAGCAAGGCCACATAGAGACGCGAACATTGAAAGTCGGCCGCGTAGCATTTCGCCTGGAGGGCGTAGGTCGGCGTAGGGTCCGCGCAGGCAAGTCTACGTAGTAGGTCCGCGTAGGTTGTTGACTCACTTGTTATACATATATATATATATATATATGTATACATACATATTATATGTATAGAAAGAAATATACATACGTATAACTGCATATATAATAAGTAGGCATTTCGCGTAGGCCCGACATAGGCTCCGCGTTGCCCGCGCGTAGTCGTAGGTGTCGGTTTCAACGTCGTAGCCCATCCGTCAACATCTCACAATTCGGGCAGGGTTGGGCAAAAAAGCGGGCATGGTTGGGCAGAAAATCAGGCAGGGTTGGGCAGAAAGTTTTGTTGAATAATCCGAATGTGCCAGTATGGCTACAATATAACAAGTCAAACAAACAATGCTGTTGCGCTTTGTTCCAGGGCCTGGCACGTAGGTCCGCGTAGGCACGCGTCAACAACACACTCCGCGCGTAGGCCGCGCGGCTACTAAACATGAGTTCACGCGTAGGCCTGCGTAGGATGTCAATGCCATGAGAAGAGCCCACACAATGAAAAACAAAATGCTCAATTGGTCTTGCAGGCGTTCGGGCTTGCGGCCACAGTTTAGGAATGAAAGCTCGACGTGGCAGCAAGAGATCTGCAAATCCTTTTTCACTCTGTTTTGTTTGAACAATCTGATTTATTTGTCTTCGCCACTCTCGGTTCGTCCAGGTCAAGGGTGTCTCGGCACACCTCCTACCGTTCGATGCTTGAGCCCACAAGCGTTTTTGGGGCGAGCTGACGGGGTCACTGAGGCATCAGTGGCGTCCTTGCCGCCAACGAATCAGCTACAAACAACATCTGGACCGATTGTCACTACACGACTCCTTTGTCCAGACTGGTGGCTGCAACTCCGCATGTGACGCATGGTGGGTGTTTCTCCTTACCCTTGCCTGCTGCTTCGTCCATGGCCCATTCAAACCTCCGAAAAGGTTTTCTCGGACAATTCCAGTCACCTTCCCACTTGCTTTGGGGGCTTCCCCCCCCTTGATTCTTCCCTACTGATATCCCTACTGATTTCAAGTGACATTTCGCCCCCAGGGTATCGAAAAACGGGCTCGGACAGGTTGCCCCTCCACCCATGCCACGTCTCAGGTGTAAAGTGCCAGTGCACCAAGCATCCCGGCATGCTCTATAGGGGTCCCTACTGTAGCCACAGGGATTGCACAGGGGAGCCACCAGGAAGGCCTTTATCACGAAAGCTCCCCCTGTGGGAGCTTCGTTCAATACCTCACGAAGTGAGCCTGGGGTTATCGGGGGGGGTGCGGGGGGGGGTGGACCAATTTTGGTGGTTTTTTTCGGCTATCCCCGGTCTGGTGCCGGGAAAACCATCGTTGCCAAGGGGGCCTGTTTTGGGCTAGATTTGGGTTTCTTTTGTAAGTGTATATGACGTTCGAAGGAGAAGCGGGGCCCCCTGATGCTGCTGATGCTGGCCTGGGTGTGGTGCCAAGGGGGCCTGTTTTGGGCTAGATTTGGGTTTCTTTGGTAGGTGTTTTTCGGAGACGTTCGAAGGAGAAGCGGGGCCCCCGTGCTGGCCTGGGTGTGGTGCCAAGGGGGCCTGTTTTGGGCTAGATTTGGGTTTCTTTGGTAGGTGTTTTTCGGAGACGTTCGAAGGAGAAGCGGGGCCCCCCTGATGCTGCTGATGCTAACCTGGGTGTGGGTGTGGTGCCTGATGCTGCTGATGCTGGCCGTTGCGTGTCATGTGCGACAAGAGAGAGAGCTACTTGAATCACTGAGCTGGGCATGCTGCAACATGTCTGCCGGTCTATGGTTCGCAAAGGTGTCTGTCTCATTGCTCTCTGCATCTTCCGGGCTGAGGGTCGGCGCTTTGCTCTCTCGGCGCCTCTCTGTTCCTGTAAGCTCCGTGTCCCCAGTCCTAGGCCTACTAGAGCTTTCGTCCCAGCCCGTGGCTCTCAAGTAGATTTGCCCGTAGAGGCTCAACACGACATGGCTGCCTCAAATGCGGGCCTTTAATCCAAATCGTCGAGCATGGTGATTGCAGCATCCGCTGCTGAGTTCTTAATTGGCAATGACCAGATCGGTCGCTCCAATGGACCGTCTCCCCATTCGCCCAGCCATGAAACTACGTCACCACTCCAAACGGTGTGCTGGAGAAGTCTGGTGTGATGCCACAGTGATGCCCATGAGGCGCGTCCGTGCTCACTACACGAAAGAATCTCGCCTCTGCGGTAACCTGCCTGGGCTTGGGTCAATGATCTGCGGGTCATGGTCCCCTCGCTTCGCCGCCTTCAAGGATGCGTCGGAAGTGACTGCAAATCCTGTCTTCTTCATGCTGGTCTTGAGTCTCACACATTCGGCAACCACCCTGTGCGTCCAACGGCGAAGGGTATTTGTTGATCGAAGGCACGATTAACGGCTCGCATGTGAACGAAGTTTAAAGTTCTGCTGTGCATGAATGTGATTTTGCAGGTTTAGTTTTAAGCATGTGGACAAAAGTTGCCGTGAGTTCGCAGTTTCCAGCACGGTCCTAAGGTCCCCAAGGTTGCCGAAACTTCGTGCCACACTTTTGTGGCAACTGGAGTCGTGTCACAGTCTTGTCGACATGTGTGAGTGGCGTGAGCCTCGCAGGCAACCAAAGCTGTGTCAAAAGTTCACACTAGCTGTTTCGGGCGTCTTCAGCCAATCGCTCCAGAGCCTGTTTTATTTAGTGTCGCAGAGGCTCCCCACCATGAGCCTGTCGCCTGTCATTTTCTCTTCCGGCTGTGAGCCTGTGCCGGATGCCCCATGCCAGGTTTGCGGTGAGCATGCAGTTCAAGCCTGGTGACATCCTCGCTTCTTGGCTTTTGCTGCAGTTCCGGGATGCCAAGCATGATGAATCCGTAGATATGCTCGAGGGTACTTCCATTTTGCATAGAGGGTTCTTTTGAAACAAGTTCAAAGCTGGACTGAGGTGTTCGACAATCGACGTGTGCTTCACGCACCTTGGCAGGACTTCAGCGCGTTCCCTCTTTTCGCATCGCTGCCACGCAAGCAGGACGCATCCCTTGCACGCAATTTGAAGAATTTGCACCCCCCAAGCTGCAAGGTTGTTGTTCTGCTGAGAGGGGGGGCAGGCAAGGCGCACGCGGGGCTTGCATTTAGATTAACTGATCAACGGTCACAGGGAAATCTCGAAGATCAATGCTGTGAATCTGATGGAAAGCAGGTTAGACTGGCATGGTGGTCCGAGCACAGAGCCATGCTGTCAGCAGATTGCAAAGTTGCCGTCTCTGACAAGTACATCTATACATCCCTACAGCTCGGCACGTCGTAGACGGTTTAGCCGCAGATGTGCGAAATATTGCGATACACATCTCAGGCGCGGACTCACATTCTTCCCACTGACGGAGAGCGGTGGGTGCAAGGCTCGTCCCTAAAATCTGAACGTGCACGGGCTGATGGAGCTTCCACAGCCTGGTGCACATGATGTTCGACAGATTTCAACTGAAGGAGATTTTAGTTTATCTGTTTGTCGAGCATGTTTTTGAGTGAATTGGCGATTGATGTCGTTGTTGCTGTTCTATGTTGTTCGTGTCCTCTCCAGTCGCTGACCAGGATGCTACATTGATCGAGATGCTTGGTCAAGCAAGCGAGAGGTTGGCATAATATGTGGCGTATCTTCCACATGCAATCCATGCATACATAGACCCCCAAATGCTGCAAAAGCAGAGGCAGGGTTGTTTTGTTGGCAGACGTGCATTGTTGCCGTAGTATTCTACATTGATAGCCTCATCTTCCCAGTCAATTACATTGTGGGAGGGTTGAGTCAGGGAAAGGGAGAAAGCACGTGAACACATCTATCCAAGCAACGAAGCAAACTTGTCACAATATCTAGCCTTAACTCCAAGCGCAGAGAACGGTGCAGGGGTATACGCGTGAGTGGCAGTGGATCCTTTTTTTGCCTTTTTGAGCCTGCAATTTCCAACCTTAACCTCCGGCTAGGATGGCCTGTGGCTGGGCTTCGAGAAGCTGCGCCGTCTCCTGCGAGCCGAGCTCTAAACGGACAGTCGGCCTTAAGGAGAAGGTGGCAGAAGGTGGCCCAACGCGTTGCAGCGGCGAGCTGACGTGCGTTTGACCTCAAGGATCCATATGCTTTCGGAAAATCTGGTTATCATAAGTGCAGAGGGGCGTATGTTTCGTGCAAAGAATGTAACACCTATGTAGTGCTACTGTACACAGCAAGTACGCCCCTGAAGTGCAGCCGTCTTTTACAATACCTGCAGTGGCCACCATTTTGTGGGCCTCTCCCCTTGAAGTCAAGTATCGTCGCAAGCACAAATTAGCCGAGGTTAAAATTAGGTAACGCTGCACTGAGTCACGCAAGAGGGCAAAAGCCGCCCGAACCGGAAAGATGAAGCCGAGACAGTTGTCATTGTATTTTCAAGCCGTCGCTTTCATCCAAGGGAAACGGGCCGAACCCCGACAATCTAATTGTTGATCATGCTGCATGCTCTCAACCATAGCTGGTACGCTGCAGATCTATGTAGCGGTACTGGGTTGTCTCTTGAATTTGTCCTACATCTGCCGTTCTTGGAACAGCCCCTGAGTGTTGAACGGGTTGCTTATGGTACTTGTAGCTACAGCGACTGGGGCACGGAAGAAAGAAGAAGTGTACTTCATTTTCTGGGTATGCGGTCGGCTATCAAGGCTATCAGTCTACCAGAGCATTCTGCTTGGGGAGGACCACGCAGATGATCAGGAAACGCTTTGCTTTGGGCCAGTGTACAAGCCGGATGGCCCGAGACATGGAGAAGCCTATGTATTAAAAGCATAAAACAGCAACACTCCATTGCTGCAGCGTCTAAGCGATGATT